AAGTATCTGAGACTATAAATATTTCAAGCTTATTTCTTGCATGAAACCTATTAATTTCCATAGGTAGGTCTGTGACTAAATGGGATGTGATAATGAAGCTTACTGCTATACTATTTGTTAGGCAGTGGCTCTATGGTATATGGAGAACTTTCACTCTCTGTAAATAATTAAAAAAATACAAAAGTATAGACCTCAGGGACACTGAGGATCCAACTTTTCTAGGGCATTCCAGATAGCATTAAAAAAATGCTCATTTGTTCAGCAAGCATTTATTTGAGCAGTAACCACATGCAAAGCACTGTTAAGGGGTTGGGATGGAGCAAATGTCATGACCAGCTGTATATTGCAAACATAGATGTACTACAGAGCAACTCTTACTCACTATGCTTGTTTATAATAGTCTTAGTACAAGCAGATAATTTGTCCTCAATAGAAGTAGGAAACAATTTGAGAATAAAACAAAAAATCTTCAGATGCAATGGTTTTGTGTAACATCTTGTCTATCATGTTTTATAATACTGGAGAAACTTTGGCCAATTTGACTTAGAAATGGAATGTAACTTTGCTTACAAAAATTGCTATTAAACTCCTGCTTAAGGTGTTCTAAGTTTCTGTGAGTGCACTAAAAATGAAAAATAAATGTGAATAAAATGTAAAAAAAAAAAAAGGAAACAAATTCCATCTATATAATACCACTGTTTGTTTGAACTTAAAACTTGAGTATTTCTGCCAATGCATTTGCAGCTTGTTTCTACCATGCCAATCAAATGAATGAGCTTCAGGAAATGAACTGTATACCTGATAATCTTGTGGGTACACAGGCAAAAATATAGATCAGTAGATGCATTATTCTAATATATTCAGTAGAGGAGCTAATAATATTTGATAAAGCAAATTCTTAAAATTCAAGACATCCCATTTGTCCTTTAATCTAATGTCTTATAATTAGAAATTTTTAGTAAAGACAGCTTCATTCATATGAAATTCAAATTTAAAAAAATACTTAGGTATCTGTCATCATATCTCTCTATTAACATCAAAAGGAGATAGAGTACACCAAAGCAAACATTCCCAAAGAGATGAATTTAGCAAATAAAAACAGAAAATCAAAATGAGCTATTAGAGCTCTTGGAGAAAGAAAGAAGAAAAGAAAGAAAGAAAGAAAGGAAGGAAAGAGAGAAAGAAAGAAAGAAAAGACAAGACCAAAGGGTGGAAAGAAAGAAAAGAGGAAAGGATGGAAAGAAGGAAAGAAGAAAGGGAAGGAGAAAAGGAGAAAGGGAGGGAGGAAAGGAGAAAGGGAGGGAGGAAAGAAAGAAAAAAGATTTGATCCACTATCAATCAAGGAGGAATGGGCCAAATATCCTCAAAGGGCACGAAGGCTAAAATCAATGCAGCCACTCCCTTTGCAGTGTTGCTGATATTTAAGAGAGGCACCACTGCCAAGGGAATGGCACAGTCATTAATCCACTTCAACAAGCTAACACCCAGTAGTCCTGCCAACCACATCCCTCTTCCCCCAAGCCTTATGAAACGCACCACCAAATCTTGTTGATATTACCTCCTACATAGTCTTTAAATTAATCCATTTCTTTTTCTTCCCCCACCTACACCTTAGAATATACAGTCATCTCCTCTTTCCATCCAGCCCACTATCTGGTCCCTGGTTTCCACTCTTCCCTCCCTTTAATCTCTTTCCTGCCTGGCAAGCAGAGACATCTTTTCAACATGCAAAATTATAACCTGACATCCTTGCTTAAAAAATTTTTTAATAAGGTTCCTTCATTCTTTGAATAAAGACCAACATTGTCAACATGGCCAACCAGGATGTGACCCCTGCATATTTCTCCAGCTTCTTCTACCTTATTTTCTATGGCTCCAGCTGCAGTCCTCTTTGACTTGCCAAGGTCCCCCTCCTACCACATGAGATTTCTTCATGTTGTTACTTTTGCCTACAATGTTCTTCTTCTAACTCCCACTTGTTTATTAATTGCCAGTCACTTTTCTAGATCTCAATGCAGACATCACTTCCTCAGGGAAGTCTTTGCAATGCTCTCCCTTATCCCTACCCCATATTGGCTGGGATATTCTCGGCATTATGTACTCCATAGTATTTCACAGAACTGCATACATATTGTGTGGTAATTAGATGATTATTATTAATCTTTCTCACTAGACTGTAAGCTCAATGAAGAGAAAAACCATGTACGGTTTTCTCATCATTGTAACCACAATATCTAGCAAAGTGTCGGACACATAGTGAGCAAGCATTATTTCTTGAATGAAGAATGAATATGCCAATGGAGTCATTAACAAGTGGTTAAAGCAACAATAATCTGCTTATTTCCATTTACCAGAATCATTTTGATCAGAGTTTGAATGATGAAATCACATTACTTCAAATCTCATAATGAACAAATTGAAAGATTTTATCTAAACTCTCTAGCATTTTTGGCATTTCATAGATATGGCCACAATGAAAAGATTATTAGCATCCTCCTTGAGTTATAATAGAAATTCAGAATGTTGTTGCTAAATTAGGCTTTAACAATTTCTGGTATAGTTTCTCATATTGAAAGAGTCTTAGGAGATCCTCAAAAGGTCATCCATCCTGTTGGTGACAGAGCAGGGATGAATATCAGCCATTTAAACTCTCAGTTTAATGTGACTTTTTTTTTTTCCTATAACTATGCTGCAATTTCTGGGTTTTATGGCTTCATTTTCATATTAAAAATTTGGAACAACTTGTAAGTACCCATAAGAGAAATATCTCCAAATGGTTAATTTTGTCATATCATTTAGATTTCTGCTTTAAAGTATTAAATAAATAGCAATATTTTTAGAAAAGTAAAAAAACAAGCCCAATTTTATAAGAAATGAAGTACTTTCATGCCTTATTTGCAATTTACATGGTATGCCTTAAATAAGGGTGAGAAAGGAAAGGTACATGTTTCCCTGGTTTCTTAATATTCTGAAGCAGAGAATTTTTCCAGTTAAATCTGGTCTGTAATTCAGTTTATAAAAACTCAAAAGGAAGGTAGGTTTTGAGGAAGTGGTTGGGGAAGTGACATAGTGGATGGAAAAGCAGTCGGTTACAATTGGCATGTGACCTTGGACTGTCACTCCCCTCTGTAGATTCTACTTTCCTTATCTGTACAATCAGAGGTTGGTCTAAATCATGGGCTTTGTCTGTTGATGGGCTTCCAAGATCCCCCTAAGCCCTTTATTGTGTGTATTTCTGAGAAGAGAGTCCATAGCTTCTATGTGATTGGAGAAGGGCTTGGGACATTTAACAGGTTAATTGCCTCTGTACTAATAGCAGAGATCCTTCTTAACTTTTGAAATGTAATAAAGCTATAATTATAAATTCAGACAGAAAATAGAAATTTATATAATTATTAGCATAGGTAATAAGATTATTTGACGAGCATAACCTAGACAAAGGAATATTCCTATCATTAACCATACACTTAAGTGTTAGCCAAAGAACTACCATAGAAGCCCAGCCCAGATTTTCCATAAGTAGCATCAATTGCCCAGATGATACAAAACATGTGATAAATCTCAATATGTCACAGGTTTTTAGTCCTGCCTTTTTATTATCAGTGTTTTAATGATCAATCAAGGCAGCCTGCTACATAGAATTACATGGAGTGGAAACAATCCAGAGCAGTTTGCTGGCAAATAAAGCTACTTTCTTACATAGTTTTCAAAATATCTATTTGAAAACCATTTTGATTATAACTTTCAGATAGTTGAATAGCCACAGTTGCTATGCAATGCATATAATTATTAGACACAGAAATAAAAATCACTCTTATTCACTTAATTTCTTCCTACCTTTCCTTCTTAATAAATATTCCTAATTATCCACCAGGCGTCAGGTACTCTTCTAGACACGTGAAATATTGGTGAACAAAATAAATATATTTCATCCTCATGGGGCTTGTATTTTAGGAGGGTACAAATAAAATAATAAACATATATAAAAAGTAAGTTGGGGGCACCTAGGTGCCTCAGTCGGCTAAGCATCCAGACTCTTGTCTTAGGTTCAGAGCATGATCTCGAGGTCTTGAGATTGAGCCCCACATTGGGCTCCATGCTCAGTGCGGAGTCTGCTTGAGATTCTCTCTCTCCTTTTCCATCTGCCCCACCCCCACTTGTGCTTGCACCCATGCACACACATGTTCTCTCTCTCTCTCTCTCAAATAAATGAACTCTTTAAAAAAAAAGTAAGTCATTTTTGATTCTTAAAAGTGATGCATGTAAAAAAGGCAAAAGTAAAGAGTAGGAAGACTGGGAACACCAGAGGTGAGGAGAGTGGTTCCAATCTCAAACAGGTCAGGGTAGGCCTCACCGAGAAGGTATCATTTAACAAACACCTGAGATGAGGGAGTGAGCCTAGTATATAACCTGGGAAGAGCCTTCCAGACAGAGGGAGGCACCAGGGCAAGGGAGTACTTGATTTGTTCAAGGAATAGCAAGGAGGCCATGGTGCCAAGGAAATAGCAAAAATCTCTGCTGCTGTGGTCACAAAATTTATGAAATTTCATCTTCCAGTTGACACCTCATTTTCTACCACTTACCTGTTTAAAATGAAAGTCATAATATCTTTTGCATAATCCTACTAGAGTCTCATATTTGTCAAAAATACAAAGTTCTCCTGAGAATTTTTAAATCACCCCAAAACCACGATCTCTGGTTGGTATGCAATTTGACTCTATCTCCACAAACATGTATTTGCAAATGAACTGCTATGTGATAAGCAAATATGCCATTTAATAAGAGATGATGTCATTATAAAGAAATCAAGCAAAAGATCTTCAGTTTGACACTTTGTCAGTTGGGCACAAAGCATTTGTTATATCCCAACAAAGAGAGATTACAAGATTCATAGCTAACATGAAAGCACCCCTTCTTTCTGAAATGTCACTGTTCTTTTGGTATTTATTACATTGTTCATTTCATTAACTTTCTTCCAGAAAATGAAACAATCGGAGAGATGCCACGAATTCCGTTTGGAGGCATCTTTGAGCTCGCGGAGTAGACACCATGAGCAAAGCTCACCCTCCCGAGTTGAAAAAATTTATGGACAAGAAATTGTCATTGAAATTAAATGGTGGCAGACATGTCCAAGGACTATTGTGGGGGTTCGATCCGTTTATGAATCTTGTGATAGAAGAATGTGTGGAGATGGTAATTAGTGGGCAACAGAATATTGGAATGGTGGTAATACGAGGAAATAGTATCATCATGTTAGAAGCCTTGGAGCGAGTATAAACAATGGGTGTGTTCATCAGAAGAAATCAACTGCTTCCACATGTCCCCTCCATAGTATAAATAAACTTTTATAATAGTCAAAAAAAAAAAAAAGAAAATGAAACAATCATAATCACTGTACAATTTTCATAGCACTTATCTGGGTAAGTACCTCCAAAAAAGAATACATACATAAAAGTAGTCTTTTTTTTTTTTTTTTTGAGAAGAGGGTCCGTCAGCCCTCCCCCAAGTAAGCATCTTATTCCTGCCTAGTGCCTTCCATGAAAATGTGCTGTGATCCCGAGACTTTACAAATGTAACATAGAACGTATACAACTATACCTTGCCCAGCTGATCCTTTTTGCCAAAGCCAGTGGCAGCTGCGATGCTCCCTGCTCCCTCCACGGTCTTCTGTGCTACTGCTGTCACCCCTGTGACCACCGCCTCACCAACATTTGTCACTTGCTCTTTGGTCTTCTCAGCCACTGGGATAAATCCAGAACAACAACAGATTAAGGGACAGTGGAACAACAGGGACTGAAACTAATTTCACTTCCACTAGCTGTCAACTTCTAAAGACCTGTATTTGCATGTACTATAAATACCTGAAGTGTCAGAAGAAATAAAACCTCAGAGATATTTAAGTGAGTATGGTTTAGACAAACATTAAATCTTTGCTAAGATATGTTGCTGTAATCATGCAGAGAGTAAACGTGCTTCAGATGTAATGATCACAAATAGAACCTTTGAGCGACGGAGGTTTGGCTAACATTTTACTAAGGAAAGTTTAGAGAAGGCAATGATTACAGACGCAGCTATTGTGGTATCAGGTATGTACTTCTTTATTTCATTTTCAACATCAATTCTTTAATCTCACCCAGCATATTCATTTTCACTACACCTTCTGAGTCACACTAACAACACATAGTTGCTCATGTTACTATTAGAAATAAACAATACAGATGACATGATACTAAATATAGAAAACCTGAAAGACGCCACCAAAAAACTACTAGAATTGATAAACAAATTCAATAAAGTTACAGGATACAAAATCAATCTACAGAAACCTGTTGCATTCCTATACACCAATAATGAAGCGGCAGAGAGAGAAATTAAGAAAACAATCTCATTTACAATTGCACCAAAAATAAGAAGATATGTAGGAATAAATGTAACTAAAGAGGTGGAAGCTCTGCACTCTGAAAACTATAAAACACTGATAAAAGAAAGTGAAGACAACACAAAGAAATGGAAAGACTTTCCATGCTTATGGCCTGGATTTAACAAATATTGTTAAAATGTCTGTACTACCCAAAACAATCTATACATTTGATGCAATCCTTATCAAAATATCAACAGCAGTTTTCACAGAACTAGAGCAAACAATTCTAAAATTTGAAAAAGACTTCAAATAGCCAGAGCAAACTTGAAAAAGAAAATGCAAGGCTAGAGGCATCATAGTTCTAGACTTCAAGTTATATTACAAAGCTGTAGTGATCAAAACAGTATGGTACTGGCACAAAAAATAGACACATAGATCAATAGAACAGAATTAAAAGCCCAGAAATAAACCCACAACTATATGGTCAATTAATCTTTGACAAAGTAGGAAAGAATATCCAGTGTGAAAAAGACAGTGTCTTCAACAAATGCTGTTGGGAAAACTGGATAACTACATGCAAAAGAATGAAATTGGACCAGTTTCTTACATCATTCACAAAAATAAAGTCAAAATGGATTAAAAACCTAAATGTGAGACCTGAAACCATAAAAATCCTAGAAAAGAACACAGGCAATAATTTCTTTGACATTGGCCATAGCAACTTTTTTCTAGATTTGTCTCCTGAGGCAAGAGAAAAGCAAAAATAAATTATTTGGACTAGATCAAAATAAAAAGCTTCTGCCCAGCAAAGGAAACAATCAACAAAACTAAAAGGCAACCTATGGTTGCGTAGGTATCTGATAAAGGTTTAGCATCCAAAATATATAAAGAACTTACAAACTTGAACACCCAAAAACCAAATAATACAACTGAAAAATGGGCAGAAGACATGAACAGACATTTCACCAAAGAAGACATCCAAAGGGTAATACACATGAAAAGATATTCATCATCACTTACCATCAGGGAAGGGCAAGTCAAAACTACAATGAGATATCACCTCACACCTGTCAGACTGGCTAAAATCAACAACACAAGAAACAAGTGTTGGCAAGGATATGGACTAAAAGGAACACTTGTTCACTGTTGGTGGGAATGCAAACTGGTACAAACACTGTGGAAAACAGTATGGAGGTCCCTCAGAAAGTTAAAAATAGAAATACCCTATGATCCAGCAATCACACTACTGAGTATTTACTCTAAGAATACAAAAACACTAATTCAAAGGGATACACACACCCTGAAGTTTATAGCAGCATTATTTACAATAGCCAAGAAATGGAAGAAGCCCAAGTGTCCACTGAGTGATGAATGGATAAGGATATAATTAATATATATACATATATAATGGAATATTATTCAGCCATAAAAAAGAATGAAATCTTGCCATTTGCAACAACATGGATGGAACTAGAGAGTATAATGCTAAGTGAAATAAGTCAGAGAAAGACAAATATATGATTTCACTCATATGTGGAATTTATGTTTTTATTTTTTTTTCCTATGTAGAATTTAAGAAACAAATGAGAAAAGGGAAAGAAAAGAGAGAGAAACAAATGAAGAAACAGACTCTTAATTATAGAGCATAAACTAATGGTTATTGGAGGGGAGGGGGGTAGGGGGTGGGTTCAATAGGTGATGGAGATTAAGGACTGCACCCATGGTGAGCACCAGGTGATGTACAGTATTATTGAATCACTATATTGTACACCTGACACAAATGTAACACTGTATGCTTGCTAACTGGAATTAAAATAAAAACTGAAAAAGGCAAAAAAATGAACAAACATCCCTTACTCTTAAGGGATGGTTATGAAGAAACTTTGATCCTTTTATCAAACGTCAAGTGGTTGAAACAGGGTTTTTAATAAAAATGTTGATTTTCAACAATTTTAATGGTAACAAAAGAGCTAGGAATTAAGTGTAAAAATGAAGTTTGTTGAGCAAACTTACAATTTCTTTTCACAAAACAAAATACAATATGGTGATTCAGTAGATTTTTTTAATAAGTTAAACATCTAGAGAAGACAGTGTAAATAGTTTGGATTAGATTTAGAAGCAGACTTAATCTCATATCAAAAATTCTCCAAGACTATATCTGATATAATTGTTGAATTAATCTTTCTCTATTACCTCCATGCAATTGCCAAATAAAAGAAACTCCAATAAAAAAAGTTTGTTTCAATTAAATGAAGAGTTCTATGAAAAACAAAAGAGAGCTTCTGCTCTTTTAATAACTCAAGGTCAATAGAGAAATAAAACAACCGCTCTTCATCAAAACCTTATAACATTTATACTCATAAAGCCTATATCTTGCATCTCTTATGTCCATCTATGTAATGTTAGCCTTCTTTCCTTTTTGCCTCACAAACTCTTTTTTCTGCTTTTTTCCCAGATTTCAGGAATTTGGGATTTTGAGTGATATTTTTCCTCAGGCCCTCTCCTAAGCAAATAGAGACAATTTTTGTTTGTTTGTTTTTGGTTATGCTTTATGCTTGCGTACATCCTCTCCAGCCCAGCCCAAGGCATTGGCTGAGCTGTACTGTCAGCTGTTAACTTGGCAAATGTTATATGCTAGTCACATGATTATAGTACAGATTGCATGTCACCCATTGCAGAAGGCCAATGATTGAATAATGTGGACAAAGCAACTGGATTTTGATAGCAGGTCAGGGAAGTAAGGAGGTCTATAAGGACAGATCCTTACTCTTTAGTTCTGGGCAATGTGGGGAAGCTGAAGTGACCCTAGAGTCTAAAATCAGGAAGAGTTCCCAGAACGTGTTGCTTTATATTTGCCTTTTGCCACTTCTGGGGATACAGTCGATGCCTCCTAACACGTAATGGCTATTCCCAAAGCAAAGTTCAATTTAAATGCCAGTGAGAAGCTGTTCTGGAGATTTCATGTTTTTAAACATTTCCAGAATGTTGATCCTTCAAAAATAGTGAATTGTGAGGTTTAACTTGTCATTTTTTTTCTTTTCCAAGAACATGAATAGAAAATTTTGCTTGAAAAATGAACTTTTTATTGTTACAATATCTCAAAGACAAGAATAAATTTTGATCTTTTTACAGATTATTTTTCTACCAGCCATGAAAGGTTATTTTTCTAATATCTAGACCATTCTTTGTATATGTATATACATTAATTTATTTTTAATGCACATAAACTTCACAGTAAAATGCACTTTGTACTTTATCATAATTTCATCAGGTTTTATCATTGTAAGAATAAGTAAATTAGTTATATTACAAAATGACAGTGTACATGTAGCAATGATAGACACATTTTAAAAGAGTACTATAGGACTAGTTTACCTAGTGGATTATCCAGTCATCTTAAGGCCCTGTGCCCCCTGTTAAGGACTTTTACACTATTTCTCTGTTCATTGACATGCCAAACAAAAGGGTGACAAAACAAAAGGAAATAAGACACATTCAAATTGGTGAGATTTTTCATGTAATAAATGATATTCATTTTTAAGGGAAAAGACCTTATAACCAGGATCAAAAAGGATACTTTCCTCCCAACTAATCATAGTATAATATTTTATGTTCTCCCCCAAATGTGCCAGTCTTTCTCAATTTTTTCATACAGCTCTGTCTGGCCAGAAGCTTTGATCCTTCTCAGATATCTATCTGTTTACTCAGCAAATTCGAGCTGCTGTTAAAATCCACCTCAAATGTCAAATTCTATATTAAAAACCTTTCCTCCCAACAAGTGTCCTGTTTCTCCTCCTGTGATCTCATAAAATTTTAGATACATCTCTGCTATGGAACTGTTTACATCGTGCCAGAATTATTCATTTCCCAGTGTGTCTCTCCACCCCACCAGCCTATTTAAAGTTCATTAAAATCAGAGATCCTGTTATTTTTCTTTATATTATTTCACAGCAGATACGCAATAAATTATTTTGAATGAATTAAAAGGAATTTTGTGTATTCTGTAATTTATTCATTAACTTTGATAATTAGATATAATTTGGCTTTAAGTCAAAAATAAAATTTGAAAGAAAATGTGGCACCAACTTTTCAAATAGATACAATAAATTTAACCTTTGATCTTAAACACAATCATAAAATTAAGAAGATCTAGCTTTGAATTGTACAAATTATATATCTGAGGAAAATAAATTTATATTATAAAACATTTTGATAAATTATAACATGTTGAAATTAGCTGTGTTCATTATCATGTAACAAATTTCTGTTTATAAGAACCAAAACTCAGAAAATCTCCAGTAATAGGAAATTATTTATACCATACTTTCATGAGAAAAAAAATTAAGTAAGCTTTTATCAACATCTATTTTTTAAAGCAGCTTCAAAGACATGTCATTCAGTACATCCAGATTAAATACACTCTCATATTTTTCTATAACATTTTCTATAGCATAGCATTAAGTTGACAACTGCAACAATAATGAACTGAGATCAAATAGCTAAGGTGTAAGAAAGAGATTTTTAGATTTTATCATGAGATTATCTAATGGGGAGAAATTCTTTTTCTTGGAATTTTTTAGGTAGAAAACTCCTGGCCTAACTTAAGTTTACTGAAGTCTATATTTCTGAAAAATAAGTAATGGGATGAATCTTGAAGAAATTTTTCTTTTGACATTAGAGGATAATGTTATAGACTGTATAATAGTTTCTCACTTCCCTGCTTTAAGACTAATTACAATAATAACATTTATTTAGCACTTATATTATGTAGACTAAATAAACATTTTAGACCAAGTATAATAACCATTCTTCTCCTTAACCATGGAGGTAATTATCTTAAACTTATTTATCCTTATACTTGGAATTTGGAATTTTATGTTAAATAATCCTACTCATTGCCTAATATGGGAGAAGGATGGTATTTACAGCAGATTTATCCCATTGCATTTCTCATAGTCAGGCTACTTATGACATTTTTGATACTTTGCTATTGCCAGGGTAGTTGATTGGTACAATGGCTGTAAATATTACCCACATCAAAATCATCATGGTCTTGCTGCTTAGCAGCATTTTCCATGGTGCTCTCTGGAACACTGGTTTCACTCAATCCTAGTAACTACTGAAATAAGGTCAAATAAATTTGAGAAGTCCTGGACTAAACCATATTATGAAAATTTCTTTATTATGGAATATCTCAGATTCTTCAGTATGCTAAAGAAGACATGATACACAAAGTTTCTCAATATTATTAAACTAGGGAAACATAAAGTGACAGGCTACTGTTCTTCAGAAAACAAAATGCTGCCTTATTGTACAAACTTCAGTAATGCACACACACACACACACACACTCATTGTGGAGAAGATGAAAACTCTGACTTTGTTAACAGTTAGCCCTGCAGTCCATCTCCACAGTCTTCATTCAGTGATGTTATTAGTTGTATTCTTTAATTTTTACCACAGACTCTAAATCTGGCCACAAGCTTACCCGCTTTCTAAACCACATGGATTCTTCGACTATCAAATGGAATACCATTAATCTAGCTAGGCTCTTCAGACAGTACAGTCTCCAACTGTCTGCTATCCAGGTCTTATTCAAATCATGCTTAATAACATCATATTTATAAACAGTCCCTAGAAGTCAACACAGTTCATGTGCTTGCCTAGTTCTGGGCATTACGTATTGATTGGATTGCAACAGAGCAAATACAGGCAGCATACTTTAATCTAGCTTCTAGCAGAATCGGTTTCAAAGGTTCTATTTTCATTTTGTGCCCTCATTTATTTTCAAAAGTATATGCATATAAAATAGTCATGAAATATTTTTCTCCTCTAGCTGTAAAAATGTTGTTCAACATTTAGTGTGTATTATACAGGTGTTATTCACTATGATAAATAACACCTGTATAATACACACTACGTAATTTCATTATTCTAGGTATTTGTGCACATTAAGTCTCTTTATTCTTTTACAGATGAGGAAACTAAATCACAAAAAGATTATGAATCCTGCAGAAAATCACATAGCTCGTAAGTGGTAAGCAGAAATTTGAGCCAAGGAAGTCTGGCTCCAGTGTTACGGTATCAACCACAAAACTGTAGTAATACTCCCATTTGATTTTCTCCATTTCCATTTTATAATTCAGTAATAGGAAGACGGTATTTTTCTGAGACACTATTACATTTACTGCTATCTGATCATATGAATTATATTTCTGATTATATATTCTGTTTTACCCCATCTGTCAAGCAGCTTGGAATACATACAACATGTAACTGAATCACGGCAAGTCTGTGGGCTCTTAAGATTATTAAATTTTGGTTCTCCTTTCATTTTTCGGTCTCTAACATACTCCTCATCATCACCACCATAATTTTCATTTTTGATATTAATTTATTGCAATCTTCTTATAGACCCATTCAAATTCTTGGTAAAATCGTGCCAAATAGATATAAATACAATAAATACTTCACTGATCATTCCAAGGGTGTTTCTTAAAATGTTTTCTGAATCATCAAGGAAATGTTATACTGAGTATCGTTTAATGTCAGAATGCTTTATTATACTGTACAGAAAATTTGACATTAATCCTTTGAAAACTGGCAATTCTTATACGTAATTTATGGTAGCAGTTTGCCAAGACACAATGTTTCAGAATATTTAAATGTGATATTACCATAAATTAAACATATCCGGTCAATTCAGAGGCATCATTCTTGATAGTGGAATATATTGTTTTATTTATCTATAATAAACATTTACTTACTTAAACCATTTAATAAAGAATTAAAGTTAAACAAAGCTGATATTCCCTTAGAATACTTCTCTAGGAACACAGTGGCTGTTTACAATTACATTCTCAATGATTAATGTTTACTAGATATTTTCAATATCATTCTTGGATATGGGCCCCATGGAGCTTACCTGTTGTCACACCATGAACCACTCCTTCCTTGGTTTTGGAGCCTATAAAAACAAATTCAAAACATAGACATAAGTCTCAAACTGGCCTTATATTGCTGATTAGCTAGTTTTAAATACAACTAATAAAAAAAAGTCTCAATCTTTAGAAGCCCATATAGAAAAATATCCTTAGAGGGCATAAAAGCTAAAACAAGGAATTCCAGTAATCATACAACAAATAGAAGAAAGCAAAACTAGCAGGAGGTTCTTTCCAATTAAAATTTTAACCCACAGGGGCGCCTGGGTGGCTCAGTCATTAAGCGCCTGCCTTCGGCTCAGGTCATGATCCCAGGGTCCTGAGATAGAGCCCCACATCGGGCTCCCTGCTCAGCGGGAAGCCTGCTTCTCCCTCTCCCACTCCCCCTGCTTGTGTTCCCTCTCTTGCTGTCTCGCTCTCTCTGTCAAATAAATAAAATCTTAAAAAAAAATTAAAATTAAAATTAAAAAATTAAAAAATTAAAATTTAACCCACAATGATGAGTTATTTTTTTAAGTTTTCACTTTAATTCCAGTTAGTTAACAGAGTGTTATTAGTTTCAAGTGTGCAATATAGTAATTCAACATTTCCATGTGTTGACAGCTGCTATAAACATTGGGGTGCATGTATCCTTTTGAATTAGTGTTTTTGTATTCTTTGAGTAATTAGCCAGTAGTGCAATTGCTGGATCATAGGGTAGATTTATTTTTAACTTTTTGAGGGACCTCCATACCATTTTCCACAGTGGCTCCACCTCCCAATGAGGACTTTTTATCCCCTTGTGTCCCTCTTCAATAATGGATTTTGCCCAGAAATAAACCCACACTTATTTGGTCACTTAACCTACAATGAAGGAGGTATGAATATACAATAGGGAAGAGAGTCTCTTCAATAATCAACTTACAGAGGGAAAAATAAAAGGTGAGATAACACTGGGGCTGGGCGGGAAGATGATCTTAGGTTCAGAACTGTAGAAGCTATACTAAAGTACAGGAGAGCAGAGAGGTTAGTCAACCCATGAAACTCAAGTAGGAGGGAAGAAAAAGAAGAAATTAACATTCATTGAACACCTATTATGTAAAAGGCATTTTAATCTTGTTTAATCCACTTAATACAGGCGAATTATGCCCACTTTATAGCTGAAGAAATTGCAATTCAAAGTAAAATGATTTGCCTAAAGTCACACAGGCAATAACTAGCTATTGATATCAATATTAGCATATTGATATGACCCTAAACCTATACGCTTTCCACTAAGCCAAGCAAACTTTTAGGAGGAATAGAGCTTTTAAAAAAATAGCTCATTAATATGTATTAAAACTAAGTTTAACAATTTTATTCATGAGCTCTCTGATGGTGGATTTTTCAGTGTGACACTAGCTGTTTTTTGTGTTGGGTCTTTTTTTTTTTTTTTTGAGAAAAAGAGAGAGCTGGGGGGAGGGCTAGAGGGAGAGGGAAAGAGAGAATCTTAAGCAGGCTCCACGCCCAGTGCAGAGCCCGATGTGGGGCTCAATCTCACGACCCAGATATCATGACCTGAGCCAAAATCAAGTCAGATGCTTAATCAGCCTAGCCACCCAGGCACCTCTACACCAGCTTTTTAATTAAATTTTTTTTTTTTTTGGAGAAAATAACAGTGGATTGGAGATTCATTTGAAAACTACCCTGTAAGTAAAATAATCTATTTCTATCAGACATAGAAGAATATAAGGAAATGAGGGCATAAAAACTGAGAAAATATTTAAATCTATATTTGGAGATTAAACTAGGTACTAATCTTCAGTTTAAAAATGCACTGGTTTAAAAAGCTTTCCTAAGCATGTTAGAAATAACAGTAAACACTTTAAAACAAAGGAAAAAAAGCATTAGGGAATCTCAGGTTCCCCATCACTAAGATGACTACATAGAATTAATTAAATAATCTCTAAGAACTGGGTCCTTAAACTGGAGAGTGCAGCAGAACCAGTCAGGTGGGAGCGCTGGTTGAAAATGCTGACTTTTGTGTCAGAGCCTCAAATATTCAGGAAATACCAGGTACAGATATTTGCATTTTCTAATAACCCTCATGATCTAATTCTAATTCAAGGGTCAAATTTATAAAACACTGGTCTTAGATGGCTTCAATATCCAAATTTATTTAAAATTTAGAAGCACATATCCACGATTTCAATAATACGATTGATAAAATGACCTAAATGAATATACAAGACTACGTTGAAAATGTTCACTAAATATTTTTATGAAAATACATAAATAAGGCATTAAGTGAAATTTGGATGCATATTTAAATTTACTTTTTTTTTTAAAGATTTTATTTATTTGAGAGAGAAAATGAGAGAGAGCATGAGAGGGAAGAGGGTCAGAGGGAGAAGCAGACTCCCCGCTGAGCAGGGAGCCGGATGCGGGACTCGATCCCGGGACTCCAGGATCATGACCTGAGCCGAAGGCAGTCGCTTAACCGACTGAGCCACCCAGGCGCCCCTAAATTTACATTTTTACTAAACAGTCAAGAAAAGTATCTATGTTTAATAAAACAATTTAAATATAGTTAAGAAGTTTCCATTTGAATAATTTAAGGACCTCTGATAAAAATAAAACATATAATAAATGATAGCATTGTAATTAAGAATGTGGGTTTTGCCCAGAAATAAACCCACTCTTATATGGTCAATTAACCTACAATGAAGAAGGCATGAATATACAATGGGGAAGACAGTCTCTTCAACAAGTGGTGATAAGAAAACTGCACAGCTACATGCAGAAGAGTGAAACACTTTCTTACACCACACACAAAAATTAACTCAAACTAGTAAAGACTGAAGTGTCAGACCTGAAACCATAAAACTCCTAAAAGAAAACATAGGCAGTAATCTCTTGGACATTGATCTTAGCAACATATTTATGCACATGTCTCCTGAGGTATGGGAAATAAAAGCAAAAATAAACTATTGGGACTACACCAAAATAAAAAGCTTTTTCACAGCAAAGGAAGCCATCAACAAAATTAAAGACAACTTAGTGAATGAGAGAGGATATCTGCAAATAAGATATTTGATAAGGGGTTAATATCCAAAGCATATAAAGAACTTATACAACTCAACACCAAAAACAACAAATAATCTAATTTAAAAATGGGTAGAGAACCTGAAGAGTCATTTTTCAAAAGAAGATATACAGACAGCCAACAGACACATGAAAAGATACTCAACATTACTAACCATCATATAAGTGCAAATCAAAACCACAATGAAATATAACCTCACATCAGTCAGAATGGTGAGTATCAAAAAGAAAGAAATAAGGGTTGGTGAGGATGTGGAGAAAAGGGAACCCTCATGAACTGTTGGTGGGAATGTAAAATGGTGTAACTACTCTGGAAAACAGTATGGAGGTCCTTCAGAAAATTAAAAATAGAAATACCATATGATCCAGTAGTTCTACTATTATTTACCTGAAGAAAATGAAAACACCTAATTCAAAAAAACATATGTATTCCTATGTTTACTGTAGCATTATTTACAGTAGCCAAGATATGAAAGCAACATAAATGTCCAATGATAGATGACTGGATAAAGAAGATATGGGGGGGGTGTGTGTATACACAAATGGAATTGTGTGTACACAAATGGAATATTACTCAGCCATAAAAAAAGCATGAGATCTTATTTATCATCTGCAACAACAACATGGATGGACAATAGAGGGTATTATGTTAAGTGAAATAAGTCAGATGGAAAAAGACAAGTACCATATTATTTCACTTATATGTGGAATCTAAAATACAAAACAAAAAAACAAAAATAACAGAAACATAAAAACAGAGAACTGGTGGTTGCCAGAGGGGAGGTGGGTGAGGGATGGGTGAAATAGGTGAAGTGGATTAAGAAGTACAACCTTGTAATTACAAAATAAATAAGTCACAGAGATGAAAAGTACAGCATAGGGAATATACTTGGCATTATATAAAGAAAACTAAATTGTTTTGCTTTTCAATTGGACTCTAAATTTATAACTTCTAAGCCATTTGATTGGGATAATTGTTATTTATTAAATTGAAGTATATAGATTGAAAATTTGTATAAAAAAATCACAAAAAAATCATAAAATAACACTGATTCTTATGTAGTTCCTCAATTAGTTAAAAGATAGTTGCCCAAAATATAATATTATAAAGGAATGATACTACTTTTTTCATTAGGTTTAAGAAAACAGTGTGCTAAATATCTTCAGCCATATAGAAGTTAGAAAACTTTCTATAATCACTTCCAATCTTTCACCCCAGTTATTTGTGAGTTTTGTAATGACGAATGAAAAGATAAAAAGAAAATATGTTGGCAAAGTAATTATTCTGTTGGACAGCTTATTTGATAATAATAACCATGGCTCCTATATATAAAAGTGTGCTTTACAAAATCCTCAACAAAATATTAACAAATCAAATCCAACAATGTATAAAAAGAATTATGCTTCATAACCAAGTGGAATTCATGCCAGGTATGCAAGTTTGGTTCATTATTCAAAAATTAATTAAAGTAATCCATCACAATGACAAGATAAAGACAAATGATGTGATCATATCAATAGATGCAGAAAAAACATTTGGCAAAATGCAACATCTATTTGTGATAAAAACTTCTGGTAAACTAGGAATAGAGGGGAACTTCCTCAACTTGATAAAGAATATTTACAAAAAAACCTACAGATAACATCATATTTCATAGCAAGAAACTAGGGCTTTCCTACTAAGACCAGAAACAAGGCAAGCATCCTACTGGAAATCCTAGCCAGTGCAATATGATAATAAAAGGAAATAAGAGGTATACAGGTTGGGAAAGAGGAAATAAAATGATCTTCATTCACAGATGACTTGTATGTCTATGTAGAAAATTGTAAAGAATCAATGATGACAAAAAAACCCACTAATTTTTGTAAGACTCTTGGATACAACGTTAATAAACACAAGTCAATCACTTTCATATATACAAGCAATGAACAAATGGAATTTAAAATTTAAAACACAATAAATTTATATTCCCACCAAAAAAAAAAATACTTAGGTGTACATTTAACAGAATATATCCAACATCTATATGAGGAAAACTACAACGCTCTAATGAACAAAAGCAGAGAACTAAATAAAAGGAGGTATATTCTATGTTCATGGACGGGAAGACTCAATACTGTCAATATGTCAGCTCTTAACTTGATCTATAGTTCAATGCAATCTTAATCAAAATCTCAGCAAGTTATTTTGTCAATAACAACAGACTCTAAGTCTATGTGGAGAGGCAAAAAGCTGTGAATAGCCATGATAATATTGAAGTATAAAATCACAGGTCTGACACTACTTGCCTTTTAGACTTATTATCAAGCTATAGTAATCAAGACAGTGTGATAATTGCAAGAGAATAGACAAGTAAATCAAAGGAACATTATAGAGAGCCTAGAAATAGAACCACATAAATATAGCCAACTGATTTTTGACAAAGGAGTGAAAGCAATACAAAAAAGCAAAGATAGTCTTTTTGACAAATGGTGCTGGAACAACTGGACATCCACATGCAAGAAGAAAGAAGGAGAAGGAGAAGAAGAGACAACAACCCTTCACAAAAATTAACACAATAGGGATAATAGACCTAAATATAAAATACAGAACTATAAAACTCCTCGAATAACATAGGAGAAAACCTACATGGCCTTGGGTATGGCAATGACTTTTAGATATAACACCAAAAGCACAACCCATGAAATAAAGAATCAACAAGCTGGACTTCATTAAAATTAAAAATTTCTGCTCCATGAAAGGAAGTGGGGAGAATGAAAAAAGCTACAGACTGAGAGAAAATATTTGCAGAAAATATGTCTGAAAAGGAACTATTATCCAAAATATACAGAGGACTCTTAAAACTCAACAATAAGAAAACAACCAGATTAAAAGACAGGCCAAATACCTTAACAGATACCTCACCAAAGAAGATATATAGATGACAAATAAGCTTATGAAAAGATGCTCCACATATGTCATCTGGGAAATGTAAATTAAAACTATCAGTTACCACATCACACCTGTTAGAATGATCAAAATCTAGAATATTGAAACTCCAAATGCTGACAAGGATGTGAAGCAACAAGAACTGTTATTCATTATTACTGGTGGGATACAAAATGGTCCAGCCACTTTTGGAAGACAGTTTGTCAGTTCCTTATAAAACTAAACATATCCCTACCATATGATCCAGCAATAGTGATCCTTGGTATTTACCAAAAGGAGCTGAAAGCTTATGTCCATTCAAAAGCCTGCACATGGATGTTTATAGCAGTTTTATTCACAATTGCCAAAATTTGGAAGAAGCCAAGATGTCCCTCAGTAGGTGAATGGATAACTGTGGTACATCCAGACAATGGAATTAGTATTTAGTACTAAAAAGAAATGAGCTATCAAGTCATGAAAAGACACGGAAGAACCTAAAATGCATATTACTAACTGAAAGAAGCCAATCTTAAAAGTCTGCATAGTGTATGATTCCAGGTATATGACATTCTGGAAATGGCAAAATTATGGCGGTAGTAAAAAAAGATCAGTGGTTGCCAGGGGTTGGTGGAAGGAAATGAATAAGTGATGTACCAACAATTTTAGGACATCAAAAATATCTACATGATACTATAATGATGGATACACTTCATTATATATCTGTCCAAATGCAGAGAATGTATAATACGAGGAGTGAAACTTCAACTATGGGTTTTGGGTGAATATGATGTGTCAATGTAGGTTCATTAATTTTAATAAATGTACCACTCTGGTGGGGGATGTAGATCGTGGGGGAAGCCATGCATGTGTGGAGGCAGGGGGTACATGAGAAACCTCTGTTCTTTGTCTCTCAATTTTGCTGTGAACCTAAACTGCTACAAAAAATAAAAGTCTTTAATTTTTTTTAAAGTGTGCTTTATTACTCACATGACATTCTCACAAAAACTCTGCAAGGTAATTGCATTTATCTAAATCTTATTTTTACAAATGAAGGAAGTAAAACTCATAGATGTTAAGTGACTTTTATAGTATTCTAAAAGCAATAAATGATGTAGCCTGGACTAGAATTTAAGTTTGTGCGACGTCAAGTCTATGTTCTCTTCACTTTTCCAGGAGTCAGTGAACTGCAGCCTATAGGCCAAATCAACTCACCACCTGTTTCGGGTAACTAAGGTTTTATTGGATCACAGCTAATTATTGTCTATGGCTGCTTTCACACCACAACCGCAGAGCTGATTAATTGACACAGAGATCTTATGGCCTAAAATATTTATTGTCTAGAGCTTTACAGAAAAAGTTTATCAACTCCTGATCTATATAGTCTCTCTTTCTCATGGTCAGTTTTCATCCTAAACCCTGCGTCTGAGTTCGAATTTTAACTATCCTTCAGAACACAACCAATAAATAATTTATAGAATGCACTATGTGTTAAATACCATGATATACCATGTTATTAAAGAGGGCACGTATTGAATGGAGCACTGGGTGTTATATGCAAACAATGAATCATGAAACACTACATCAAAAACTAATGATGTAAGTATGGTGATTAACATAACATAATAAAATTTTTAAAAAATACCACAATATATATTGAAGATGATCTAAAAATCCATGTGACATGTAAACAAATTATGATTTTATGTAATAGCAAATAACAGAATATCAAAAAAATAAAATCATTCTATTTGCCTAAACACATAGTTGACAATGAAAACAAAAAGTTTTCCAGATGACAAAACCTGTTTATTACATAGAAAACAGGAATGTATTAAATTAATATTCAATAGTTTCTGGACTCACTACCAACTAATAGAACAAATATTAGCATCCTAAAAAAAATCTTTAAAGTTACTAAATTATAAAATAATGGAAATCAAAGAATAGTTGCAAGCACACACTTGCACAACTTAGAAAACTGAGGACAAGTATAAAGATATCAATTATCTGCACATCACTGATGCAGTATTCCAAATTCCCTCTAAAAAAGATGTAACTCACACTTCAAAAAAACACTTGAAATTAACTCGTCATTTTTTCCTCTTGTGACACTCTTCAATTCAATGATTTTCTGAAGATATGTCTTAAGAGAAAGAATAATTTAACTTAAGATTTGTAGCAAACTCAGCCAATATAGAGCCCATGAGCAATGAGAAAAAAATATGAGAGGCATTCATAAAAATTATTCCAAGTCTAACTCTTTTTCAGTGCATCCATGTTGGAGAGGCAGTGTAGCTGTCTTCCACCCACAGACAGAGGCGTAGTGCCTTATGCCACCCAACAAGTTCATCCTCCATCTTCCTGCTCATCCTGCTGCCACCAGAGAATGGGCAAGAGCTCAGAGCAGCAGAAGAGAAAGAGGAGAGGCAGAATGGGCAGAGGGTGAGTGTATGCATGTGTCTCTGTGGATGAGGGTTTGTCTATGTATGTGTCTATTCCTTCCCCAAAGACTTTGAAGTGAATTGTAAAGTAACACCCAACCTAGCACAGTTCAAGGTAAGAAAAAGAGAGTCAGGATCTGCATGAATACTACAAAGTGGCAATTTAGGAACAAGTAGAAAAGATAAGCATCAATCTCATTATTTAGTATGTGTGTCATTTGATAAATGAATTATATATATCTCTGAGATATTAGCAACAGCCTTCAAGCACTTTTTCGAGCAATTAGTCTTCAGTTTACCAAGTGGTCACAAGGATGAACTATACCAAAGACTTTTCTGTCCTCTCCTTTTTAGGGCCACAATAGGTCTTTTTTTACATATCCCAGGGCCATATTTAAGTCTTATTTTAAAATATGAATACACTAAAATTTGCTAATATTATTCACGATGATTAAAAAAAAAAAAATCAAAGGCCCATGAATGACTTCGATTCCTAAAAATATTCTTAATTATTTTTGGAGACTGAGTTTTAAAAACTTTTTATGAATTATAGTCCCTTATGCACAGAAGCATTCATTTAAAAAGTCCAAAGTACTACTGAAAAATTATTCTGAAAAAAACAAAAGATTATCCTCACTTTTTACTATTAGCTCAAATATACACATTTACCTACCCACACAGTCCTCTGACTCAGTTTATCCTTTTGACAAGTGATGATGCAAAAATGAATCAAGAAATACCAGCATTTAGAGCATCAATCATCCTAACCCATCAATCATAAATAAATATCAAGATGCCATGGGGGGCTTACCTACCTACATAGAGAACACCTTCTTTTGTCTTTCCTGCTGCTTCTGCCACACCCTGTTTGGTTTTTTCAGCAGCAGCCACGACTCCCTCCTTGGCCTTTGAAAGTCCTTTCATGAATACATCCATGGCTAATGAATTCCTTTACACCACACTGGAGAACACAAAATATAATTTCAATGAGAACTTTTACATCAGAAACTAATGATGTACTGTATGGTGACTAACATAACATAATAAATATAAATAATAAATAAATAAATAAATAAATAAAATAAAATAAAATAAAATAACAACTTTTGGGTAGAATAAAATAAAATTAGAACCACCCAAGATAAAAACCACTGAAAGATCAGTACAACTCCCAAAAGTGCGAGACTCTTTTATTTAGACTCTTATTTCAACCACTGGACCAAAAAAAAAAAAAAGCCTTTTTTTTTTTTTAGGTTTTGCATTAAAAATTTAGCATCCCTCATCCATCTTGGCTAGTAAAAGTCTAGCTGCCTAAACGTGGATTAAGATGAATCATCTGAGTTGTGCTTACTGTATCTTCGAAGGGTAGTTACATGAAAAGATGGACCCTCTTTCAACTTCCCAGAGTCCAAACGGTGACAAGGTAAGTTAGAAGTACGTTTAAAAGATCACAGGGAAAGAAAGGGAGCTGGAGGCATGGGGTCAGGGACAGTCTTACAAATGAATCCCAGAAGAGGGCTAACTGGCTGATCACCAGGAGGGGCGGGAAGAGAACTACTCACTCTGGGTGTGGCTCAAGCTCGAGCCCACACGCACCGGCCCTAATCCACGCGACCAGCCCCCCCCGCCCCCAGCTATGTACTCCGAGCAGGCGCCTGTGCACAGCCGGGAGCAGTCTCCGGACTCGCGCCAGCCACCCGAGGGGGCGTTCTCCGCGCGCGTGAACTCGCTACCCAGCCGGCGCCCGCACCTGTTAACCCCTTACCACCTGCTGACCTGCCCTCCCAGCACTTCCACTTAATGATCTGCCAAACACAGCTTGCTTACTTCACCGAGAAAACGCAGGGGGCGGACTGGGGGATGTAAGGTAAAAGAGAAATAAAAGTTGGCTGCTCACGCTCCACCTGGCATTCTCGCGTTTCCCCAGGGAAAAGCGTACCCCGGAGAAGCAGCGTAACCTCTCAGCCTTTGGGGACGAGAAGAACGGAATATCGGATGCCAGAGGAAAGCCAGGTCAACCAACTTACTTTCCTCAAGCTCACTGAAGAGATATGCACCCACCTCCGAGAGACTCGACACAGCAGGTCCTTATTGCAGCAACAACCTCCCTCCCAGAAGCCCACGACTCCTCTCCTCCCGGGTTTCCTCCAGTATTGCCAAAGCTGCCCGTTTAGATCCATAGGTACTTACCTGGGTCCCTCTGATCCTCACAACTACAATTCCTCTCAACCACCCCCTTACAAAATTTAAAAAAAAAAAAAAAAAATCCCAAATATTATTTAAATGGGAAGAGGGAGAATAAGAAGCGCACAGGAAGGGAAGAGGCGGCAGCAGGAGAAGGATGGTCCCCAGAGGAGACTGCTGTCAGCACAACCCGGTGATGAGAGGCTGGGGGCGTGGGAGGCAAACCCACGAACCTGTCGTCGAATTGCCACTCCCCGTCCCCCGCACAGCTGGATCCGAGAGAAGGAGACAGAGGGTCGGAAGGGAAGGCAGGGAGAGAGCGCGAAGAAGGCTAAGGGCCAGGCTCGGTGCTCGGGTCTGCTCTGAAGCCAGCACACACCTCGCCCCACGCTGCCGCGCTCGGTCTCTCACCCCCTCTCTCGGGTCCCCTTCTCGTCGTCGTGGTCTTCCTCCTCTTCCTCTTTCTCCTCCTCCTTCTCCTCCGCTCACCGCCCCCGCAGCTGATTTGTCAGCTCCTCTCCCCGCCCCTCTCCCGGCGCTCTCTGCTTTCCCAGCCGCGTGCATTTCACTCCTCTGCTCGGATGGGGATGGGGGCGGGGGGAGGCTCTACCTCCAACTTCAGACACCAGCCTGGGCCTGGGGGGCGGGGAGGGGGGGTGTTCTGCACTTCACCCCAGGTTCAGGATCAAGGGGACTCTTGTGGCGATCTGGACCTGTTAGGCTTAGGCTGATGTTTCTCCGTCTTTCCCATCCCCCCTCCTTCGCTGTCTCCGCCCTTCCCTCTGGTTCCTCACGGGACCCCCTTGTCCGAGCCACCCTAGTGGAGTGGAGGTCTGAGGGATCGACCACCAAAGATAGAGCCATCCCCTTGGGAGGCTACTGAAGGAGGCAGGCAGCTCAGGAAAGGTGCTCAACCAGTACTACCAAGAGCACGTTTCCCTCGGATCGCTGAAATTTTGATTAACGGTGGTAGGACACGATGTTAAGGATGCCTTTGTTCAAATATCACTCAGATTTTCGTAACCTCTTAACCTCGGATGAGCCCGAAAAGGTCCGCGGATGGAGAGGAGACTAGTAAGGAAGAGTTACAGGTTGAGGCAGGAAGGAGCCTCTTGAATCCTCTTCCCACCCCACTATCACCATTTTCTTGTCCACCAATCAGCTGTTGCCAGACGCCGATTTTTCCCATCAGTGGAACATGGAATAAATATTCCCCAGCCGTCGATACCAAGCGGTCTTAAGGTTTTCATTCTCGAAATGGAATTTACTTTCCACTCTCGAGTGCCTGATGGAGGAGACGAATCCAGCGTGGTTAATTCTCCTGAAACGTCCATCCAGTTTCTTTGCCCCTTCTACACACTACTCACCTTTCTCATTTGATTCACGTTGCCCTCGGAGCTGACACCCGACACATCCCTTCCCACACACAGACGCGCAGACATATGCGCGGGCTTGAAGACAATTTTTGCATTGCTTAACACATTTCACCTCTTTCAGAGCTGGAGGGAAAACAGCTGTTCTTGGGTCACACCAGAATGGAGAACCAAGCTCCTCCCTGTAACAGAATGCATTTGCTGTTTTTGCCAGAATTGGGAGAATGATTTTAGCACTGGAAGGGAAAAACAAGTCTTTGCTGTATGTTTTTGTTTGTTTGTTTGTTTTGTTTTATGTTTGTTTATATTTATTTATTTATTTATTTATTTTTGTAGGAAAAATGCTTTCTATATCCCAGCACTCACTTGGGTTCTGAAATATTAGTAAAATGCAATTTAAATCTACAAAACAACCCTTTGAAACCAAAAAACCCAACAACAACAACCCAAGAACAACAGTAAAATGCAATTTAAATCTACAAAACAACCCTTTGAAACCAAAAACACCCAACAACAACAAAACAAACAGGAACCAGGGACCCAGAATATATATATATTCTGCTTAAACAAGTCCTTACACTATTGGTCTGCCCTTTTTAAAAGCAGCCTTTCCAAATGCTCATATTTTGTTTCTTGGAATCAGAAAAAGAAGGTTAAACTTAGGAACTGGTTTACCGACTGGCTTTGAGACTTTGAACAAGTTATGTCCTCTGTTCACAGTTTTCTTTTTTAAATGAGGAGATGAACGTGGATGAGCCATCTTTTTTCAACTTTTTACTATGAAAAATGTTTAACTATAAACAAAAGCTGAGAGAATGAAGGACTCCATGTGAATATCACCCAACTGTCACCGTTTTTTAATGTATGGCTAATCATGTTTCATTTATATGCTCACCCACTCTCCATTTTTTATCACCACCCTTCATGTCTTACTAAATCCCAAGAATTACATGTATCCTTTCATCTGTAAATATTTCAGCCTTTATGCATAAAATGCAAGAACTGTTTTAAAATATCCGCAATAACACTTAGATGGTCTTTTTAAAAATTGATGTATAATATACATACAGTGAAATCATCAGATCTTAAATAGTCCTTTAAATTAGTTTTGAAAAATACATGCATTAGTGTAACCCACACCATTTTGAAAACAGAACATTTTCATCACCCCAGAAAATTCCCTTTTGCCCTTTATAGTGGGTACATATTTTAGAATTGCACAAAAATGCAATCATACAGTATGAAAAATTTTCCCCTTTCACTCAACATATTTGTGAAGTTCATTTATGTTGTGGCATGTATCAGCAGTTTGTTTCGTTTTATTACTTCTGGGTTTTTTTTCCTTTTATTACTGAAATAATATATCTTTTCAACTGTGACCTATCACTGCAAGTTACCTTGATAGACTATTATGACAATTATTTAAGGTATCATATGACATAGTTGAACATAGTTTATATTTTAACAAGGACCTCCTTGAAAGCTAGTGCTTTAAATCAAAGGGGTGTATTCTTAGGTCCCATGACAGACCAATGAGAGAATTATTTTGGAGTGGCTGTTATATTTTTGTGATTCTTATAGCATAGCATGATACCATAACACCTTTATATGGTACTTTATGCTTCACAAAAGACCAAGGTACTGTATCATTTAATCAAAACAAGTGGGTGAATTAAGTTTTATTATGTACCTTTTATAATCAGGGAATCTGAAGCTCAAAGAATTTTAGTAAAAGGCCGAAATTGCTTAGCTCTTAAGCAGCAGAGCTGAGATAATCTAGCAGGAACCATTCCAAAAGGCACAATTGTCTCCTGAGTTGTCAGTTTCTCTCTAAAACCTTACATACTGGGTGTGGTATAGGGTGGGAGGAAAAAGGTGGGACCCAGTTCTGTTAGAAATAGCCTTTGGTCTTCTATCTCACTGATTCTCTCTTCTGCCTCATTTATCCTAGCAGTTAGCGCCACTCTGGAAAACAGTATGGAGGTTCCTCAAAAAGTTGGAAATAGAGCTACCATATGAACCAGCAATTGCACTACTGGGTATTTACCCCAAAGATACAAAAGTAGGGATCAGAAAGGGTACGTGCACCCCAATGTTTATAGCAGCAATGTCCACAATAGCCAAACTGTGGAAAGAGCCAAGATGTCCATCTACAGATGAATGGATAAAGATGTGGTATATATATATATAATGGAATATTATGCAGCCATCAAAAGGAATGAGATCTTGCCATTTGCAACGACGTGGATGGAACTGGAGGGTATTATGCTGAGCGAAATAAGTCAAACAGAGAAAGACATGTATCATATGACCTCACTGATATGAGGAATTCTTAATCTCAGGAAACAAACTGAGGGTTGCTAGAGTAGGGGATGGGGTGTGAGGGATGGGGTGACTGGGTGATAGACACTGGGGAGGGTATGTGCTCTGGTAAGTGCTGTGAATTGTGCAAGACTGTTGAATCTCAGATCTGTACCTATGAAACAAATAATGCAATATATGTTAAGAAAAAAAAAAAGAAGAAGAAGATAGCAGGAGGGGAAGAATGAAGGCGGGAAATCGGAGGGGTAGACAAACCATGAGAGTTGATGGACTCTGAAAAATAAACTGAGGGTTCTAGAGGGGAGGGGGTGAGAGGATGGGTTAGCCTGGTGATGGGTATTAAAGAGGGCACGTTCTGCATGGAGCACTGGGTGTTATGCACAAACAATGAATCATGGAACACTACATCTAAAACTAATGATGTCATGTATGGGGATTAACGTAACAATAAAAAAAATTAAAAAGAAAAAAAAGAAATAGCCTTTGGATTTAGATTTGACCATAGAAATCAAGAAGAACTTAAGCTATTATAAAACAGAGCATTCATATTTGAAATTTTGCCTTTTCTACGTTGGTAATTCTTAATAGGGAAAGATGATTTCTCATCACCCACAAAAAAAGAAAAGAAAAGAAAAAGAAGAAGGGAGAAAGGAAATTGTAAGTCAGTTTTTGGTCACTTAGAATTATATTTATAATTCTATATTCTATTCCTCTTTTCTCCTCTCAAAGCATCTTGAACACAGTAAACGTTCAATAAACTTTTAATTACTGGTGCTATCAAGAGTGACATTGCTTATATTCTACTTATAGTCTCTTAGCTCTGTATTCCTAAGGAAATGGAATTACTCTAAGGACAAAAAAAGAAATGAAGTTAATAAAGATACTTTTTTTTTTAATTTTCATCCTTGATTGACAGCATAGCCTTAAGTAAATTTTTAACTGTGTAAATATAACTTTAAAATTTAAACTTGAAAAAAATATTTAACTCATTGACTGGCTTGTACTTCGTAAAGAATATGGGAGAATAACCTATTGGGAGACATTGTTGATGTGCACATTTTGTTAACAACTACTACATATGTGTTTGGTTTTCTCTTTGATAAATGAAATCTAAATGCTTTACTATTCTTTTTTTTTTAAGATTTTATTTATTTATTTGACAGAGAGAGACACAGAGAGAGAGGGAACACAGACAGGGGGAGTGGGAGAGGGAGAAGCAGGCTTCCTGTGGAGTAGGGAGCCCGATGTGGGGCTCAATCTCAGGACCCTGGGATCATGACCTGAGCCAAAGGCAGACGCTTAATGACTGAGCCATCCAGGTGCCCCAATACTTTGCTATTCTTTAATGAGATTGTTTTATCCGAGTTTAATACAGTGATTTCGCCAGAGATTAACATTCTATGAGGTGCATGGTTAACCTAAACTCTCTTAGTCTTCCCCCTTACAACTAATTTTCTAAATGTGCCATGTGGTAAGCTTGTGGGGCAAAGTGGAATGGCATGAAAAATAAGGAAGCTTCTTGTGACCAAGTATTAAAAAGTAGATAGGAAGTGATTTAATATGTTTAAGTGAGGAAAATACAATCTTTACTATCTTTGGATAATACTCCAGATTTGTTGTGAACACAAGGGGCAATGTAATGTTGATTCTTGGGTGACCTGTATCTTAGTCTCTTTTTGTACCTTTCTCTCATTTTCTGCAGAGGTATGAAAAGCATGGGGTAGTGACATCTTGGTGGTCTTCTCTCATAGTTTCA